TTCCTTCCTGCTGTGGCCAGGTTCTTCCTACTCTGATTGTTGGGGTTTACCTGTATTACTGTACGGTCTCTTTCTACTGTTAGCCGCTGTTAGCCATTGTTAGCCGCTGTTAGTCATTGTTAGCCGCTGTTAGCCACTGTTAGCCAGTGTTAGTTACTGTTAGTCGCTGTTAGCCGCTGTTAGCCAGTGTCAGTCACTGTTAGTAGCTGTTAGCCACTGTTAGTCAGTGTTAGTCGCTGTTAGCCAGTGTTAGTCGCTGTTAGCCAGTGTTAGTCACTGTTAGCCAGTGTTAGCCACTGTTAGCCACTGTTAGTCAGTGTTAGTCGCTGTTAGCCAGTGTTAGTCGCTGTTAGTCAGTGTTAGTCGCTGTTAGCCAGTGTTAGTCAGTGTTAGTCGCTGTTAGCCAGTGTTAGTCACTGTTAGCCAGTGTTAGTCACTGTTAGCCAATGTTAGTCAGTTTTTATTCGCTGTTAGCCACTATTAGTCACTGTTAGCCAGTGTTAGTCGCTGTTAGCCACTGTTAGCCACTGTTAGTCAGAGTCTTGAAATAAGGTCAGTAATGGTCTTGTTTCACGTGTGAGGCTGAGCTGAAAAATCTCACACAGCTAAAACTTGCTGCAGCAGATTCAAATCCTCCACATCAAGAGCCAAATGTGATTGAAAATAAAAGCTGAGAAATATTTTATATGTTATTATTTATGTTATGTATGACATAATTGAGTTATTTTTATTTGTTAAATACTACAGTAACTGTTTTACTGCAAAAACCCTGTATATTTTAATGATACGTAGCCTATTTAATCCACTTTAAAAGCTCTACACTTTGAACAAATGGGAATCTGTAGTTTTGAGGATGCGGTGAATTCCCATCACTTAAACATAGAAAACAAAAACAAAAACCTAAGGCACTTTCCCAAATTCAGCAACAGTTCTACTCGTCGCCAGCAGCTCCACGTTTTCTCCCCGTGCGCCTGGATCGTTCCTGCCTTCAGCGCCACAGGACTCGGCCAGCGACATCTGTCTCCTCACCTGTTCTTCTCCTCCTCTTCATCAGGTCGCCGCATCACAAACTCATCATCATATCCTGTGCTATGATTTACTTTTGTTTGTGTTTGACGAGGTTTGAGCGCTCGCCACACGTGTCACAAACCTCGCCTCTGCTGACACAGCTCCAAACACAACTCTGCTTACGATGATCAACAGAGCGAGCGAGCACGCACGAGCCTTGATGCATTGATACAGACGTATTTCACAGGTGGAAGAAGTAGTTCCTACTAATCCTTTAGACAGTCCCAATAAAATAGTTCCACTCTGTTCCTGTTAATGCTTAACTGCAAGTTTAACCCAGATGACTAAAACCAATATTTCCGTATCAATCCGCACACCACTGAAGTTCAGACTGTGGAGTAAACTCAGCATGCACAGACACATTTTACCTGGAGATGTACGTGAACACCTGTGTGTGTGTGTTGTGTGTTTGTGTTTGCTATGATTTCAAACATCTGTAATCAGAACTCAAGCCTGAAATTACATGAAATCCAGAAGTTTCGTGAACGTTTTATTGTGATTCTGTTTACGCGCTGGTTTTGTTGCTAATCTGAACCTAGCTACAGCATTTACCTGTCCATCCACCGATGGCCTCGTGCTGACTCTGCCTAGTTTGCTGTTGGATCTGCAGCTGCAGAACCTGTGAAGCTCTGCAGGGTTCGTTTCTGCTGTTTACGTTCAGCTTTGTGAACGAAACCCACAAATGGCGCACAGCAGGAATGAACGGGCATCAGTTATGCTAATGAGCAAACGTGACAAACATGCAGCTGCTCGTTAATGAAGCTGTTTGCCTGGATGAAACAAGCCTTTACAACAAGTGTAATAACAGGTCATAAAACCCAAATCCTGATTTTATAGCCTCTAACGTTCAGTGGTAGCGAGGGAGCGATCTGATTGTGCGCTGGATTCAAATTGCTTTTGGGTGCACGAGGGATTTACAGGAAATGAGGCGCGCATGTAATCCAGCATCATTTTATCTCGCCACTCTGAGTCCCAGTGACGGGAGAGGGATCACCAACAACCGGGGGCATCACCCTGTAGCCACGCCCTCTTTACGAACGGTGTGAATCGCAGTTTCTGTGACCTTCTGACTTTTTCTGTAGCGCCATCATCTGGTCATATTTAGTCTTTCCTGTGACGCTGTTTTTAAAAGCAGGAAGATGAATGTTCTCGGATTTTCTGACTCCTAACTGAAACAGAAGCAGGGCTCTGACAGTCGGTGTAGATTATTTCCCTGCTGAGGTCTGTGTGTCTTCTCAGCTTTGCTTTAGCTGCTCAGACTCTGAGGAGGACTGTTTTCTGTCCTTCATCATGAAGATGAGGGATGGAGCTCTAATCGTCGTGGGCTTTTGTTCTTTTCCCCTCTTTTATAAATGCGGTTAATCACTTGGAGGAGTTCTGGGACTTCTGAAATCTGAAAAAGAAATGATTGGTCCATGAAGCGAGTGATGAATTGAGGGATCTAAAGTGGTTTTGATTGGCCCGGGCATGGTCGTTTTATCCGGAAATAATTCATGTAATGGTGTGTTCCAGCTGGAAGGCAGACCTACTTATCCACAGCAGAATTCCTTCTCCGTTTCGCTCTCTTTGGGAATCTTTCTGTTTGCTTTGAACACTATCTCATGTCGTATTTTTGCCCGGTCGTCTCTGACTGCCTTGCCGTTTAATTGCTCTCCGTCTTCGCTTTCTCCCTGTGCTGCTTTCTGCCCTCAGTGCTGATTCTGCACAGCTCTTCCTTTTCTGTCTCGTTATCTGCATCCTTCCTCGGCGTTCCCGTGCGCCATCCACCCCTCTCCCTCTGTGTTTTTGCCCTTTTAAATTTG